AAAAATGATTACATTGGTGATTAATGAAAAAAGCCACTTAACAGCTAAGGGTTAGCAGTGTTCAACATTGACCCTGAAAGGCTAGGGTTCTTGTCACACTCCTAATGTAGGAAAGAGCCAACATCTAGATTCAAGGACTACAGGAGCAAATCTCCAGGATCTAACCCCCTCTAACTTCACTCACTGAATAATGTCCATCTGTACTTGACTATAGTCCTTTAAATCTTTACAAGACTTGGGCAAACACAATATTAGTTACAGTTCCCATTACCCAGATCTGTCTATTACTGATCCCCATCTGTTTGGTACGTTACTACTGGAGAAACCTGCCAACTTCATAATCTCTGATAAAAACAAATGTAAAATATTACAAAATTAACGCTTTATCAATAACTAAAAACATGTATATTTTCTTCACTGAAAGTGAACTGTGAGCGGTAAGCCAATTGATTTGGATTGGATTACTTATGCAAAGTTATTAAAGTGATAGCACTGCAGGTGTTCAAACAAAGTTTTACTTTCTACCCAGAGGTGTAGAAGTGAGCTGTATTCTAAATAGAGCATGTCTAAAAGAGTCCACGTCTATCATGATATCTAAAGTTAAATATTTTGGAAAATATTTGCTTCCAGATTCAGAATGATCAGATTTCTATAAAGAATATAAAGAATTTTCAGCAGCATCCTAATCCTGCATGATTTGTAACATGGAGAATGAATGCTACTCACCAATCGAAGACAGTGATCTCGTCCCACCCTGAACGCCTTGCCTTATATAGCTAATGTTACTGTGTCACATTCCATCCATGCTGGTGGAATTAATGGATTTATGGATCAACCATCAAAACATATACAGCATCACTAGGCGTAACATCAAACAGAGCTGTGACCAAATAAATACAACAGTGGACAAATTAATTAAAAAAACTATCAGTGTATTCAGAATAAATATGAATAACTGAAAGAAATATCTATTTTCTTTTCATAAATATTAATACGGGAAGACAGCTGAGGTAGCAGGTTAGACTTCTATTTTCCGCCAGTGTAACACTGAAGTACACATGCTGTCATTGTTATCAAGGTAGTAATCACATACTTGATGCTTTTAGTTCATAAACACATTATATTTGCTGGTTGAAAAGGAACAGACATGCTTTTTCAGTATGAGGCAAGAAAGCTCTGGCCATTCAATCGGATCCATCATACTTTCTAAATGATTATTATGAATTTCTGCCTTTTGGCTGCCGTTTCAAAATCATGTATTACAAAACTAACAGAACTTCAAAGTCATTTGTCCCATACAGTGAAAAATCTTCCTCCAAACTTGTAATAGTGAAATCAATGATATGGCACAAGTGATTATTATATTATGTACTTTGATTATGATTCATCATCATATTGTGATTAGCTTGATATTGTATATATGTATATACTTCAACGTATGTTTTATCTTATCTTATATAGGCAATTGTTATTGCCACAAGGAAGTTGAAAGCTTCAATGTTAACATATATACACAGGGTATCACCAAAACCAATTTGAAGATTATGTCCATGCATATGATAATAACTGTGGCATACACCAATCATATCCCATCACAAGACATAATTACGTATACGTGACCTTTAAGCTGTATTAGATAATTTTTCAACTTTTACACCTCAAAACAACACAAAAACTTAGTTCCTCACCTCGGCAAGTTCAGGACCACTTGTTGTCATCTTTATGCTACCCTCGGCCACAAACATAGAACAGCTCTACTTAAAGGACATCATAAATCAATCCTATACTAATTGTAATTAGATCGGTTCATAAATAATCCAGCAAACAGCTTCATTATTAACGTAGATAATCTGTGACAGGATGGGTGTAGCAGGATCAATGACAGTGCTGGTCTATCACATGGTCATGGATTCATCACCCACATATTCACAGATTCAGAAATATCACCAGCAATGTGAACACACACATGACACTTTTGGAGTCGGCCATTGTCGGAGATAAGCTGACAGATTATCCTTAGCATCAAAGGCACCCATTTAACTACATGATAAGTGAGTGAGTGAGAACAGTTTCTCACCACACTAAGCAATATTCAAGCCATATGGTGGCAGTCTGTAAATAATCAAGTCTGAACCAGACAATCCAGTGATCAACAGCACCACCAGATCCTGTTAGTCACGCCTATGGCAAGCATGGGTTACTGAGGATCAATTCTAACCAGGATCTTCATGGGTCACATGATAAGTAGAAGAAGAAGAATACTTTATATAGAGGTCACATGGCACTGCATATACAGCTCATGAAGGGATAGTTGGCGTACATTCTACAGGCACCCAGCCTAAAGGCCTTTGAGACATCAAAAGGCTTAGTAAAACAGCTAAAAAAGTAAAATACACAATGTATCCATACAGGCAAAAGATAAGATCACCTACCGTACATAAAACCAGTGTTTAAAACTCACAAAATTCCAAGCCAGACAGCCGGACTGGTAACTTTAAAAAAAATTACCAGTCCGGATACAAACTTGCCCGTTTTCAACAATAAACTGAAATTACACGTGTTGTGATTGGTTGTCATAACATGAACTGTCCAGTCGTAAGTAGTTTAACAAAATGTTCATAATACCTCAAACACGACAAGAGATAGTGTCTGATATTATGAAATATTTAATGTTATGGGTAAAAATATCTACCAGACCACTGGACAGGTTACTTTTGAAATTTGACCGTCCGAGATGAAAACAAACCGTTCCGGGCGGTCGGGCAGGCGGGAATTTTAAACGCTGATAAAACATCACATTACCCATGCCCAGTAAACATACATGGTGGTATTACAGAAAAGACAGTGTGTTTTTTTTCGCTGCCTAAACATTAGTGATACCAGTGCGGCTAGGGGTTTAACAAACTTTTCATTCTGCAGCAGGAATATAGTCTGGTCAGTAGGGGACATATTAACAAATAATGGGTCAAATATAGTTGTTTTTTCCACAGGGTGGGGCAGTGGGGTAGCCTGTTTGTTAAGGTGTTCTCTCGTCATGCCGAGGACCTGGGTTCGATTCCCCACGTGGGTACAATGTGTGAAGCCCATTTCTAGTGTCCCCCGCCGTGATAATGCTGGAATATTGCTAAAAAAGCGGCGTTAAACTAAAACACTCACTCACTCTTTCTACAGCTCAAAGCTGAATAAAAATTGCAGCCTACTAAAAAGAGAGTTCCATCCTCAAGTACAGATTTGATCGTGCAGCGGTGACTTTATTGTGCGGTGTCTTTAGGTGACAAAATCTACCAAGCTCTTATTCTAAGGGTAGAGTACAACAGTGAAGTTTACTCAAAAGATTATGTTGTAATCTATTCATTGTTGTACTTTCATATGGTTCCACACACAATACATCCTAAAACAGTTACGGAGCTTATTGCCATTAGCCACTGTCCATAAGCCATTAAACCAATCAATACAAGTGTTTGCCACTGATATGGCAATGTCCCCCGCCGCTAAAGAATGCAATATCTATATTTACTACTTTTTATTTTGGGTCACATACATTACAAGATGCCTGAAATGACTGGTGTCTGCATAATCACCCAATGTAGGCTGTCAACATACTTGAAAACATTGGGTGCAATGTTTTATGAGATATCACCTTTAAAAAGCGGTCAAAGTGTCGTGGTGACCTTGAAGATAAGGTCAAGGTCACCCAAATAGACTGGTGTCTGCGAAATCCCCCAATGTAGGCTGTCACCAAATTTGAAGACATTGGGTACAACAGTCCATGAAATATCGTGTTAACAAGAGTTCAAAGAGTCGTTGTGACCTTGAAGAGATAAGGTCAAGGTCACCCAAAATGAACTGGTGTCTGCGTAATCCCCCAATGTATGCTGTCACTAAATTTGAAGACATTGGGTACAACAGTGCATGTGATATCACGTTAACAAGAGTTTGAAAAGTGTTCAAAGTGTTGTGGTGACCTTGAAAATAAGGTCAAGGTCACCCAAATAGACTGGTGTCTGCGAAATCCCCCAATGTAGGCTGTCACCAAATTTCAAGACATTGGGTACAACAGTCCATGAAATATCGTGTTAACAAGAGTTCAAAGCGTGCAAAGTGTCATGGTGACCTTGAAGTTAAGGTCAAGGTCACCCAAATAAACTGGTGTCTGGGTAATCTCCCAATGTAGGCTGTCAGCAAATTTCAAGACATTGGGTACAACAGTTCATGAGATATCGCGTTAACAAGAATGGGACGGACATACGTAGGGACGCCGCTGAATACATAGTCCCCCGTTCCGCGTTGCGGCAGGGGACAATAATCCTGGGAGATCAACCAGGTTTTTGCACAATTAAAATCCAAACAAGAAATATTACACAGATCAGGATCTGGTAACTGAAAACTGTTGAGCAGTGCAATAACACTGTTATTCCATGATTTATGGAGATCAGCTATAAATAGCACTCAGCACTGTTTTAATATGCTGCATAAAGCCTGCGCCAGAAACGTAAAATTTCAATTCTCTGTTTAGCTAGAAGCGACAGCCATCCCATCTCACCTCTGAGTGCAAGATAAGTCAACTGCTTACCTGTAATGTAATGACAGGGAGCTCACCCTTACCTTCATAATAAGTAAAGTACCTACCTTTGTTGTAATGACAGGGAGCTCACCCTTACCTTCATAATAAGTAAAGTACCTACCTTTGTTGTAATGACAGGGAGCTCACCCTTACCTTCATAATAAGTAAAGTACCTACCTTTGTTGTAATGACAGGGAGCTCACCCTTACCTTCATAATAAGTAAAGTACCTACCTTTGTTGTAATGACAGGGAGCTCACCCTTACCTTCATAATAAGTAAAGTACCTACCTTTGTTGTAATGACAGGGAGCTCACCCTTACCTTCTTTGTTGTAATGACAGGGAGCTCACCCTTACCTTCATAATAAGTAAAGTACCTACCTTTGTTGTAATGACAGGGAGCTCACCCTTACCTTCATAATAAGTAAAGTACCTACCTTTGTTGTAATGACAAGGGGTACAGGAGTCCTTCATGTTTTTGGAACTTTGGTCTGTTCCCATTTGGCTGCTGATGCAAACTTCTGTCAGGAATGCACTCTGTAAGCAGAAGACAAAGGTTCAGTGTTTGGAACTAACATACAGTAGGGGCCAGAAGTGATCCCTGCAACCTGTGGTTGTCAAAGATTCGAAAATACCCTCACCTTTTCGCAGACACTTGGTATCATCACTTTTTGAGAGTGATTCATAAACACATGCTCACATCATCATCGTATTGTATTGTTGTATCTCATGTTGTCAATCACTGGATTGTCCATACTCAAATGTTTACAGATCATGTAGCAAAGCTGTAAAACTAACTTCTTTGAATGGCATTTTAGAAGTTGGGAAGTACAATCTAGACAAACTTTTTTGTATTTAGTGAGTGCAATGTTTCAATACAGAATCTTGTTCTTACAAAATAAACTAAGTTGTTATCCATAAGCTTGGCTATATACCCATAACACTGCAGAATGCACAGTTAAACAAACACATACTTGTGATATAATCAGAATTGTACAATTGACTTGGCTTTAAGCACAGACTTTTTCATGGATGTGGAAATGGTTTTGTTGTTTTTGTTCATGGATTGGATGGTCAGGTTCAGTGACTTTGCTGATGATATGTTGTTGTACCTTCAAAACATAGAGGGGCGGTGGTTTTCCCTTTAGCATAGATTGTTGCTCATTGTATCTGTTTTGTCTTGTCCACAGTTGATTATTTACAGACTGTCCTCATTCACCTGCAACAATGCTGTGTGCATCACTAAACAATTAACTAAAACTCTCTTGGGACAAGAGAAGCAATGGTCATGGAACATTTCTACTGCACTATAATCTATCGGATAGACAAATGACAATATTTTATTACCCGCTAGTGAATTCTCTGCAAAATGAATTCACTCAAGCTTAATAGTACTAAGAGTTCGTAACAATTAGCAAATAGCAACCAAGTAGGAAGAATCAAGTGCTTTCTAATATTACCACTGATTTCTCTTGACCCGAGGCCAAAAGGCAAATGAGAAAAACATTTCAAAATTAGGTTCAAATTTCATGTTACTTCATACTTGTAACTTATGTCAGGCCTGCCACAGAAAACTTTCCCACTGTGCAGAAAAACGCAGAAAAGCCCACATTAATTGTGGAAATAGCAACATAAACATAATACCTCGCTACTGAAACAGTAAAAACAGCAACTTTAAATCGATAAAACTGCATAAAAAACCGAAGAGCCTGCAACTTCGATTTTGCGCATGCGCACATGGAAGGGGAAGTCTCGACCACATGTTCACATTTTCCAGCTTGGACAAAAGTTACATTCCCTTTTAAGTATTTCTGTTGTGTTATTTGGCATTTTATCATCATGATACTTGTGTGCACACTTGTTTAGTTTACTTTCCATTCGTATGAAATGACTGACAGCAATTATTTTGACATATTTAATACTTTTCTACGCGAGGCGATTCACGGTTGCTCGGAAATTGGAAAGAAGCGCATGCGCAGTAGAGGTCAAAGTTCGCTGACATAAAAATGTTGCAGTTTCATAGTTTTTACTGTTTCAGTAGCGAGGTATTATGTTTTTGTTGCTATTTCCACGATTAATGTGTTCTTTTCTATGTTTTTCTGCACAGTGGGAAAGTTTTCTTTGGTAGGCCTGTTATGTGATGGCTTTGAATAGGTGATTTGTATTTAACTTATTACAGGATAATGATTACATTGTATAATTAATATCAATATACACTGTTCAAAGACCTCTGAATATATGACAGTAAGAAATAGAGAAAACCCAAGTTCATCATAACAGATATTTTTGAAATTTGGGTTGCATTGGTAGTACCTATATGAATCCCCAGAAATAAGTCAAGTAACATGTTTCTGGTATGCAGTCACAGTGGTAATACTTGAAGGATCTCAAAAATGTATTTGGAAGTTGAGAAACTTTCCATGCACATTTAAGCCAGGTAAAACGTATGTGGGTGGACTTGTTTTTGTGTCTTTTTTTTTTTTTTTTATCACCCTTTATAACTGGCCATCCCTCTTCAGACACCATACTGTTAGGGATATATACCATGGGGCTTGAAGTAAAGGGTAACTCAAAGTACGATGATCAGATTTTTTCCAAATGTCTATAAAGTCATTATTTTGGTGGTTGAGAGTTACTTTAATTTTACTCTCAAATGCGCATTTTCAAGATACTTACTCATATCGAACACATGGTATGGTTTCTCAAAAGTGCCACATGGTCAGCCCTTAACGCATTAATAAATTATGATCAGAAATAATGTTTGAAACAGGTTCAGAAATGTGGGAGTTTGAGGATAATGTGGAAATATCAGGCAGTAAGAAAAATGTCCAAGAAAAATGACGGTGACAGTACACATCATGTTAAACAGATAACTCACTCCAGTTATAGCTTGATACAATTCAAAATTCTCAAATGAACACTACACATAAAACTGTATATGTGGGCCAAAATTTGGCACCATTAGCTGTTACATTTGAAAACAAGTTGACTCCAAAATAGTATTTTGAATGAATTTAAATAATTGTCAAAATTTGAATTGATGTACCGGTAGCTGCTAAATGTTAAAGGGAAATAGGAACGAGAACAAAACTTTTGATATGTTGTAAAGGATATTCTAAAAGTCACCTTCCGTGACTAAAATTGAGCAAAAAGTTTGTAAAATAGCAATAAAAACACAAAAAATGTGCTCGTATTTCCGCCTATTACGGAAACACCCGACAGTTAATGACAGTTAAAAGATGTTCCTGATGTCATTTCTGAAATGGATGTTAGACCGTATCAATATGATCCGATTTTACATCTTGCAAGACAATCTTCCAGTGAAGATGAAGAAGAAGAATCAAGCGAAACGGAGGCACTGCTTGAGGTCAAAATATATTTGAAAATAGACATATCATTTAACAAGAATACTATTTGTCAGCAAAACCCACCCCTATAAATATATGACCAGTCCCTAAGAATTATTTAAAAAAATATTAATATGATTGCAGTTCCTTTTGTGTCAAATGGGTGACTGTAGGGTGTCTGGGGTTTAAAAAACAAAATAATTATGCTTCAGACAGGGGAAAATAGAAATTCCACTGGATTTATTTCGTTGAAAAAAATTAGGATCCTAGTTCTCATTAATAAAGTATCAAGTCTCCATACACGATCCCAGCCTGGTCGAGCAGAGATAATTTTCATGACGCAGATAGGTTATTCCCCGAAAACTGGTGAATTATAAAATACTAGTCAGGACAATGTATGTTTCCCCAGTGGTTGGTTATGGAAATAGTTATGGTACTCGGTCATAGCCTTAGAATGACATCTTATCAGCCAATGAGAATACAGAACAACTTTCACGGAACACACTACTGACAAATAACGAGTCCGATGCCGACGTAATCGGACAAAATGGAAAACAATGAAAGCAACAAGTACTTCATGATTTGCTGTTGTATTTGCCAATGTTTCAGGTAGACTGCAGCATTTAGGGCTCCAAACCGAAAAGAACGTTATAGCGAAGCATTTTCAAGCTCATGTGAAATCTCTTACTGATTTTGATTAAATATATCTCATGGGTACCAGTCGAACTGTCCCAGCTACAAAATGCCCCAGCAAATTTAGTCATTCATTCTAATTTGGTCAAATTTATTTAAAATGATTAAATATATGCCGTAAATGCATAGTTTTTGTCAACTTTGATATTATGTTTTTCATGTAAAAGCTATTAGGAAGTAATATTTCTGATAAATGTTCCATAGTAAACTCATAACTATGTATATACTTTTTTATATCAAGAACATAATATCAAAGTTGACAAAACTATGCATTTATGGGCTATATTTAATCATTTTAAATAAATTGGGGCATTTTGACTACCCCCTGGGTCAATTTGACCAAAACTTCGAGGCAATATGACTAAATTTGCTAGGGCAATTTGCAGCGGGGGGCAATTCGACTGGCAATCGGACTTTAATCTAATTTATGTTAAAAATACCACTGACAGTAACTTGTAACAGGGAATGATGGAGTATAAATGAATCATGTGGGTACTTCTTCCTTCTTTAGCCTAGCTTTGGGATTTTCATTCCCCATGTATACATGTCTCTATCATATGCGTCCGACTTGGAATGATCGAAGCATTTCTCCTGCCTAAATCTGTCTCTTTACTTGGAAAACGGAAGAAATGGTGGCTCTTTCCATTGTTCGATGATTCTGTGCATCCCCAGGCAACGGAATACACCATCGTACCATTTACAAAAACGACAGAGACAACACAATATGTATTACTGTAGCGCTTGTTCTTTGGCAATATGGCGGACGCTTGTCACATATGACGTCACGAGCAGAAAGGTCACGTGAGTTCCAGCGGAATATGCATAATGGCCGAAGCTCAGATAACAGAAACTGTTTTCGCAATAAAAACATCATAAACCATATTTTTTAAATACAAATTGGGGTACGTTTCTGATGACTTTTCTTTCACCCAGCAAATTATTGCAATTGTCTAGTATTCTCCTTTAAATGTTTACAATATTTAAAAAAATATTTTCCCCTTTATTCAATACTCATTTTACATATTTGTTACACTCGTGTATACAGATAAAATACACATATATGTATATGCACATATGTATGTTTTCAATTTATCTTATATTTTTGCCCATATGTCGAAAATTAAATATTTTGAAACCTATTTGTCAGCCAGGGATTACAAGAAAAATATTTGGAACTTAAAGTTTATGACAGACAGTAATGTATCTATGTTATCATCAAATATCTGTCAAGACATTTATTTTACTTTTCATCTATTTCAGCGATACGGTCCAATGCATAATCCAAGATCTTTCCATATATCATTTAAACAAGGCTTTGGTTCCCCAAAGGGGTCATGTAATGTATTATTGTCAGGAAATACATCTGGACCAGGTGAGGACGTGCTGAAGGTATCGTACACCATCTCTAGATGTCTAGTCTGACAAATAAGATCTCCACGGTGCCAAGAAGCCCAGCTGGAGCCACTTGTCATTTGCATAGTAGATGTTTTTGCTCAC